TACCTATGTCTCCTTTTTCATTGACAACTTGGCACTCTGATAGTAACTTATCCCGCCACTCCATTTCCAGAGTTTTCAGCCTCCGTTTCATGTCACGTCGGGCTTTTTTTAAGGATTTCCTTTTTGCCTAATTGTTTGATATCGTTCACACTCGGGCACTATATCTCTGGTGTATCCATTGTTCCAACCAAGTGCACTTCACGCTATTTCTAGTTACTCTCATACCACATATGCCGCATAGCGTGAGGCTGGGGTTCATTTTGACATCTCCAGCCAAAAGAATGAGCTGTCTCTGATGGCCTTGTGTTTCTGAGTCAGAAGCCAAAAACTCGGACGGGATCGTATTGAACCACAGTAGGTGTTTGCCTCGTATGGTTGTTTGTGAGAGGTGCTCGGACTGACTGGGCCACTGTTGGTACCGTGGATAATCGTCGACCTATCGTTTCCGAATTTTCTTTGCCCGTTCCTGGCACCCGGTGTGTTGTTTGCCGCACAAGTGCGCTTTCGCCGGTTGGAGGCCACACATATTTCGTACAAGGTTACCGTGACTCGACCCACTGGCCATAGATGTGTTGACCGGAGGTCCATGGCCATGCATGTTACTGGCATGTGAATGTACCACCATCATCGAGTGCTGTATCGGCATCTGTATGTGCAAGTGGGATTACTGGTGACTGGCTCTGCATTGCGTGATGTGTGGCTGTGACGTCAGTACGGGCATCTCTCAGCAGGTCTATCGCATGTGGAAGAGCTGGAACTATAGTTTCCAGACATTCCTGGGAGCCTTTCATGCTTCTGGGTAAATTCACAACGATACTACGTCTTCTGATTCCACAGACAGCTCTTGACCGCATTCCCATTGGCGTGGTATCAAGCGATTTCCTCATCGTTGCGATCGACAGCCCGGGGGACTCTCGCTCAATTAGAATGCGCGTGGACTCAGGACTACGTCATTCGGCGAGATACCAGTTCCCCCAATTGTCAAATCCAACCTCTTTTTGTAACCACTGTCCAGAACATTCTTGATAGCCGAAAGCGAATTGGGAACCAGTTTTTTCGCAACCACTGTTGCCGGAAGTCTCTCTGCAAGTACCTTGCCGTTATTATTCCCTCTTCTGTCTTCGGCGTAATTGTTGAAACACCGATCACTCACTGTCAAGATCTCCAGTCTCATGAAGTCTTCGCGACAACCTCTGTGACTATAGCTCTTTCTTGTTAGAATGTTTTTGGCGGTGTCGAACAATTACAAATCAGTTTTTTTTTTTCAATCAGACATATATTAAATAAGTTGAGTCCGAGAGGGTTGTCTTCATCATGAGAGTCTAAACAAGAAAATGTTTGAATATGGTCAGCGAAGGTTTTATGAAAAGTATTTGTGAGGTTCTTTACTCAACATTACGAGATTAAATTATGCAGCTGTATTTTCGTAGCCTTTTTTCGAGCTTCTTTTTTTTTCACTAAAGGACGTTTCCTTTTTATATCATGAGAATTAAGTTCGTTCAGCAATATGTTCACCCAATATCTGTTTCAAGACTGCTCCCCGCTCCATTTTAAAACCAAACCTGAAGTCCTGTGTCAGCTAAGACAACTCCTCGTTATGTTGAGAATATAACACGCGCAAAATCGAAGCTGTTGAACAAAGGTGATCGAACGTTTTCTCGGCCTTTTTAAAGCTTGGTCAATTAGTTTTTGGCTCTCTTGGTAGTCATTACTGTAAAATTCAGTTTACAGTGAGTGATTTAAAATTGGCGCGAGACAAAAAGCTATCGTTTTGACTGCTACACGGAAACTCCCTTACATTAACGCATTTACATACATACACGCACGCACACACACACACACACACACACACACACACACACACACACACACACACACACACACACTAACCAACAAAAACAGCTAGAAGTATATCAAGGATCTTAATTGAGAAACTGGCCTTTAATGCTGACGATTATAATTAAATAATAAATTAAAAATGAGGGTTGAGTGATCGCGATATGCAAAATTTTTTTAAAGTAGACGTGGGGATGGGGTGATGTAAGCCACTTTCAGGCGCTCAATGGGAGCATGTGGGGGAGAGAGGGATTAATGGGTAGAGGTGAACCATTATAAAAGCACCACATTTTAAAAGGTGGAAAAACCAATAATTATTAGTACCTTATCATTGCATCCATTTAATTCAAACCTACATCGTGGGTACAATACGTGGGTACAAAATGTAGAAGGGTAGAATACGTGTCATCTCCTTATCGGCTGGTGTTTTTGAGTGAAGCCAAAAACCCGGACGGGATCGTATCGAATCAGGGAAGGTTCTTGCCTCGTATGGTTGTTTGTGTGAGCTGCTCGGACTGACTGGGTCTTCGCCATTCCTTTGATACGGGGGGTAATTGCCGTCTTCTCGTTTCTGAATTGTCTTTTCCCGTTCCTGGCACCCTATGTGTTGCTTGTCGCATAAGTGCGCTTTCGCAGCTTGGAGGCCACAAGTATTTCGTACGAGGTTCCCGTGTTTCATCGCACTGGTCATAGATAAGCTTGCCGGAGGTCCATGGCCATCCATGTTACTGGCATGTGAATGTGCCACCCTCATCGAGTGCTGCAACGGCATCTGTATGTGCAAAAGGGATGACTGGTGACTGCCTCGTTGGCTCTGCCTTGCGTGATGTGTGGCTCTGACATCAGTGAGGGGATCTCTCAGCAGGTCTATCGCATGTGGCAGAGCAGGATATATAATCTCCAGACATTCCTGGGAGACTTTCATGCGTCTGGATAAATTCACAATGAGACTACGTCTTCTGATTCCACAGACAGCTCTTGACCGAATTCCCATTGGCGTGGTATCAAGCGATTTCCTCATCGTTGCGATCGACAGCCCGGGGGACTCTCGCTCAATCAGAATGCGCGTGGCCTCAGAAGTCACGTCAGTAGCGACGAGAGCCCACTTCTCTCAATCGTCAAAATCAAATCCAACATTTTTTTCGCCACACCACTGTTCCAGATTATTCTTGATAGCCGAGAGCGAATTGAGAACCAGTTTTTTTCGCAACCTTTCTTCAACTACCGTGCGGTTATTTTTCCCTTTTCTGTTTTCGACGTAATTATCGAAACACCGGTCACTCACTGTCAAGATGCCCATTCGCATGACGTCTTCGCGACAACCTTTGTGACTGTACCTCTGCATTATTGGAATGTTTTTGGCGATGTCAAAGAATTACTCATCGGTTTTTTTCAGACATCTATTTAATAAATTCTGAGTCCGACGGGGTCGTGTTCATCATGAGTATCTTATCAAGAGAATGTATTAATATGGTGAGCGAAGAATTTCTAAAAAGTTTTTGTGATGTTATACGTGGAAACCTTACGTGTGTACAGTTTGTCGAAGGGTCTGCAATGTGAAAATGGCACCCTGAATATAAAAAGTGTGCAGAATTGGTACGCTGATTATAATCAGCGATTTAATGCAATCGAACACGGCGGTGTACCGGACAAAGTTCACAATAGTTTGGCCTATTTTTTTTCAAAATTTGGTCTATTTGTTTAATTGGACAGAAGATGTCTAGGCCGAAAGAAAACTTTAATGTTTCATCTTTTTTTTCCATAGAGGAGGGGCAAAGGGGGAATAGCTAAAGATATCCGTGTTGTTGTTTTGTAGCTGCAAAAGGAGTGGTCGTCTAATTCATGTCTTCATCGTCGTTTATTTTGAGTACTCCACAATCAAAGATTGTGCATATCAATTGATTGTTTCGTCTCGTCTGTTAAACAGTTACTGTGGCTTTCCCAGGATTCGTTAAAATCAAAAAGGCCCCCTCTGACAGTACTAGACCCGTTCTAGAGGGGCAGTTTTTGATATGAAGAACCGAGCAAAACTCCAGTGCCTGGTTTCAGTCGGCTGTTTTTATTTAGTGCGGAGAAGTTGTGCCATTTTGCGACTGCAAAGGGGTTTGCTCACAGTCGCATTAAAGAGTTAAAGAGACGTTGGCTTCAATGAAGTGTTAAAGAGGTGGTGTATGTCATGCGGGCAAGCGTTACAGTTTGGGTAGTTGTTTTTGATATTTTTGTTCAATCTCGACAGATAGCTCTTTAATTGCGTGCTATATCCACATCGGAGTTGAGCAAGATTACGTCGTGAGCTTCTGGGTAGGCTGTTTTTTTTTCCAAAGCTATTTCTGGAGTTTGAGAGCTCGTAAGTTTAGAAGGATGTTTGGTAACGTAGCTTTTCACCTCATTTGAATGAATTATTTTAAGAGCGACTTTGTTTTGATCTGGTGTTAGGCGATCATTTTCATCAAGATGTTTTTTGCTGTTGCCGTAGTGTTTTTTTTGGCAGTTGTTGGTTTTTTTAGTCTCGACCTAGGGATCTGTTTGGTCATACGGTGGTCACATCGTTCTTGTTGATGGCATCCAATTAGAAATTGTTTGCTTAACGTTTCATTTTGTTCTTTTGCTGGCAGTTTTTGAGTCACAATGAGATCCGTATTTTCTGTATTCGGTATTTTCGTATGGACCGTATAACAGAAAAGACCCAAAAGTTCATTGAACAACTGAGCACAGCGCCACAGCTGAGCAAACTGAAAATAACACGGCGGGTAGTGTAAGTATAAATATAGCGTCAAATAGTGTAGCACGCACGCAATGCGAACAACGAGTTTCTCCAAATTCGGTAAGTGTATCAATTAGGCGACAATTTGTACAGCCGAGTAAAAAAGTTCGAGATTATTTTAACCAGAGAGTGATTTCATAAATGTTGTGATTGTTAGAAAAGTTCAAATTTTGCGTCCGTAGCGCATTGAGACTTTCATTTAATATATAAGATTGAATCTGAAGCTGGTTAAAGCATTGTTATATACTTTTTTGAAACTTAGTCGATAACATTATTGTCGATCTACTGTCGATAACATTATTTGACAAGCCTGTGAAAGATTTTCAGGTCGTGTAAACGTCTAGATGTAATTTATAAAAAATGCCCATAGTTCGGGGTTGTTATTTAAAAAATGTTCCAGAAATACGAGAAGAGTCTCATCTCGGAGTGTCTACAGACTCTAACACAGATGCTCACTTGGATTCCCCTGGCCAACAATCTGAATAACCAACTAGTCATGATTCTACTTGGATACTGCCAGATTCCATCCTGTGCTGCCAATGGACAAAATTACCAACCAGGTAGCAGTTCGATTTCTAAATGAGTAATTTGATCAAAAAATATATAAAGGCGGTTTATGACTACAAATTTTCCCAATGAAAATTAAGAAAAATTCTGGAACTAGCTTGCGAAACGACAGTTAAGTTATTGATTCAGAATGCTTTTTTTCAGATAACGTTCGAAGTAATTTTTAAAAAATATATAGAAATTTGTCAGCTGAACTTCAGCTCAAAAATAAATTCTTGTTGTTGTGATTAGGTGACGACAGTCTAAGTTTACTCGCTATGGACTGCCTAAACGAAATCATGGCCAAAAAGTGTGTCCCTAAAGACACTCAGTCATTTCTGGTCACGATATTCCACCACTCGATGAGCATGATAGACATCAACAACTCATACCCGGAATCGTTTCTGTCCAAACTGGTGTTCTTTCTTCAACTCTTGGCTTCGTCTCAGTTTGCGAGATTCGAGGCACTGGAGGGGTTCCCAATGGAGCATTTCTTGACTCAGTTGTTGAGTTTTACGTTCAGACAGGATATTTCGGAGATCTATCTGTCGTGTTTGGAAGTGTGGAGTGCTATTTTGGAGCACCTCAAATCGACTGTGGATAAGAGGGAACCAAATGGCGAGATAGATGTTCTGTACAGAGCTACAGTGAAAGAGTTATGCAGGTTTGAATGCCTTTTATCTGTTAAAAGGTTTCAGTTGATGTTATATTTCTGATGCAATGCCAATATTAGGATTTACGAAGAAACCGAGGGTGATATACATGAAAATGTGCAACTTCGGACGTATTTTTTTGGAATTACGAAACTTTCATCAACCATCGATCAAAGATGTCCAAGTTAAGCAGTCAGAAGCTATAGCGGAAGGTTTTATAGCTGCGCTTAAATAACGTATAGCTTCCTTGCAAGAGCTTGCATCTCGTAAATTGTAGAGCGCATGCAGGTTTCGAACTGGCAAACGAGGATTGCTGGCGAGCATCACTAGTACTTGCCATCATTATAATTTATGGCATAATATTTTGTCTGTGTTTCAGCAAAATCCTTTCGAAAGTGACCTTTGCCGCTAATCAGACTTTCTTGGATGAAATTGACGACGAAACTCTAGATGATGACAAAGAAACAGACTACGAAAAGTTCCAGAGAATCAACCTGGAACTGATTGCTCTTTCCAGTGATCTATACGCACCTGAGATCTTATCTGCCGTGAATTTTCTCTTTTCAAGTTTGCTGCAAGATTTCAAAACTATTGTTACGTGTATCCACAAAGGTGATGAAAACGTAACGTATCAACTTCTCATTAAAGGCGAATATGACAATTTGAGATTGCATTGTAAAGTAAGAGATCTGGCGACTATTTGTAGACTTATAGGAATGATAAACGGAACTTTCTTCTCATCAATGCAAGTATCCGATTCCTCCGACGAGTGTTTGCCGAGAAAGTATCTCTCGGGTTTGGTTTTTATATGCAAAACGAATCTACAGTTCTCGCTTTACAAAATTGAAGGAGCAGGACTCTCTGAAACTCTTCATAGTGATTTTTCGAACCTTCTGGCCTTAAGCTTGGGTGCGAAACAGTTAATGATTAACTGGCTATCTGCATTTCTAGGACAAGTTGTCAAGCTGGAAAATAACGAAGCCTTAGAAGAGATTCAAAACATTACGAATGAATGTTTCGAAATGGCTCATGAAATAATCGAAACTTTTGACTCAAGTAAAGCGGTATTTAGTCGTCTGCTTTCCCAAATTGTGTTTTCACATGCTTCAACTGTGAAGGCGATTTTCCTCCTTAAACTGCCAAGTTTCTATAACCTCATCAAATCGACATTGAGTTCAAATTTCTCTCTGCTGCCCTTAGACGTGCAATGCAAGTTCGCCCAATCAGTTTGCTGTGGTATTATAGCATCCTGGGCTTACAGTAAAAATCTATCAACTGATTTTTCTAACTGGGAATCAAGAGTTCCAATTTTATCCTCGTGGATCTCAGAACTGTTCGGAAATTTTCACATGCTGGCCCAAAAACAAACATTGTCAGCTCCTGAACTGAAAGAAATAGAACGTGGGCTTGCGCTGTTTACATCTATTTTGATGTGTTTGCCAGGAGAAGTTAAAAGAACAAGGGAAATATGTCTGGAACATTTGCACCCTCTGATAGAAGATGTACTAGTGCTGTCCTCGAACCATTTTTCGAATCCGGCTTTGTGCGGTCAAATCCTAGACGGCTATCATTCGATACTTGAATGCCTGAAGTCTCAATTGGGACCCGATAAAATTTCTCTGATAATTAACAGTCTGATAAACCAGCTTACACCTGAAAAGGTCCAACAGATTTTCTGCAGAAAATCTTCGGATTTGGAAATTGAAATCATCTCGAAGTTCGTGAAAACTTTAATGCGCATAGCGGAAGAACCTTCGAAAAAATTCATGGTATTTTTACCTGGGATTATAACTTTTGTATGTGAGACGATTGCCCCTCTGATTAATCAGGAGAATTACTACTCGCCTGACTGTATAACAAGTATGCTTGATCTTCTGTTCCAAATCCTGAAAGTTCATTGGTCAAAATTCTTCGATGAATCGGAAGGTTCTGTAACACGTGATCATTTTGTGTCTCTTGTCCAGATTTTTGGCCAGTGTTTGCTATTTCCGGATATAAATGTTTACAAGCATGCTATAAACGCCCTTCAACGCTTGAATGAAGTGTTTCAACTTTACAATAATGAAATATTCAGAACTAAATTACGGGATTCGTTCCTAATGTTGTTAATGACCCAATTACTAGAAAGAAACCAGTTACTTAACGAAGAGGAAACGTTGCAAGGTGTTCATTCCCTAGCCTTAGTTGATTTCTCGAACTTTCGAGGGTTTCTTTTGCAATTTTTTGTCTCCAAATGTCAAGATGTCCCTCAAAATGAGATCGAACAACGGATGTGTAGCTTCGCGTCAGATACTGATTTGCCAACATTTTCGAGTTCGTTGAGTCAACTGACAGCTGAAATGAATTATATGAAATCGTTGTATGCGCCAACAGATCCGACGGCTATAAACTTCACCAATTTAACGCAGTGAAGTTTTGATGTTATTCTGAAGTAGTGAAAAAATGAATGTCAATTATGATCAAGTTAACATATTCTCAAGAACAAAGTAGCTATCTTCCAAAAAAATGAAGTGAGAATGAATTTTAGTTTTGGCTAGAATAAAAAGCGAATGCGAAGCGAAAGCGTACCATATCCTTTTTTTGTTCCTTTATGTTTTCGTACAAACGGCTGATACTTCTTGGGTTCAAACTAAAGCATTCACATTTCTGTCTAAAATGAAGGGCTGCTTTTTTCATGAGAATTGTTAAAATTAACTGCCTGAATTGTTATAAAAGGTGCTTTGAGTAACGAAACTGATTATATTATGTATTTTTTACTTTTATAAAAAAAATCGGAAAAGTATAAAACGTAGTCGCCAGTTTTCTTAGTTTGAGTCATGTTCTACGCATGAAGATGGAAGCAAGAAATAGAAAGTTTACAGGATTATTTAAACGCAGTCTTACCACATCGAGAAAGCTATCTGATAGTTGCTATTACAATCTAAAGAACCTGAGTATCCTGTATAAGAAACATTTTCTAATACTAGATTTGATTTTGACGCAAGTTTACTCGATGGTGTCAATAGACACCAGAATTTTGTCGCAGCAGTTTCATGTTTAAAAAGGTAAGAGGCTTAAATGTATTTTCAATGAAATTTCGCATGTTCGGATTTGGCTGAAAAGTCACGTTTTCTCTTTGCGATACTTGTATTGGGGGTTAACGGCTCTTTTTGCATATTTTGCATAGTTTATTGGCTTGTTCATCAAAATTTTGTTCCGAATTCGGATTGACTAATTTGCTACTAGCTGCGATTTCAGATATCACCGGTTTGAAATTATGGTTTTGCGTCTCATTTCGAGCGAGTAAAGCGAGCAAGCAGGAATATTCATGCCTAAGTAAGGCCGGTTAAAATAGCCTGTTTATCCTTAAATTTAGTTTTACTTGAGTATACTTTTTTGGAGTTTTATTAACGCCATTTTGAAAATCAAAAGCTTAAACTGTCTAAAACGCCTAAGTTGAAGTTTTTTTTGTCCAGATACTTTCATCACATCACGCAGAAAAAAACGTCACTAATTAGGAAAAACTTTTTTTTTGTATTAAAGACTATGGTCGGAACGTTCTGTGCTACTTGCGCATTAACCGGCTGTCCTTGTTTTCGTTGATTTTCATCGTTCGATTGGAGAAGGGTTGTCTTCGTTGTGTTAGGTTTTTATCCGGCTACGGCGAAATGGATGACATCTCCTCACTCACACGGATGGCTCGGCATTGGGCAAGACCGGGTCTATGCAAAAATAATTATGAGAAATAGTCCAGTTTAAGCTATAAACTGTCTAAAACTCTCGAGTGATCCATCATTTTATGGCGCTTTCTGTCGTGACTTTCAAGAGTCTAGAAAAACAGTTTTAGCATTATTTTCTTTTTTGATCTAATTTCGAGCGAGCAAAGCTAGCGAGTAGATGTTGTAATAGGGAAAGCTTTCATTTAAACTTTGAAAAACTTATTTATACTCCAAGAAAAATATTTTCCGAGGCTTCACATGTTGTTGTTGCTGTAGCTACATCGATCTCTGCTTCGAGCTTCTGATTGAATTAGAGAGATTGATTATGTTTGAGATAGAGAGAGAGAGAGTTAGGGAAATTTCGTTCCTGTCTGGTCATGTTGGTTTCCTCTCGTTCAATCTATCACTGCAGCTCCCCCAGGGTCTTAAGCGGCAAAACCGACGTAAAACGGGAACCACCTTTTCCAGAGATAGCGTCTCTGTGCTGGTGTCGGCACCTTCCCTCTGTATAGCACACTCAAGAGGGAGGTTTCGGTGTGGTATTGAAACCCGTTCTAGGGGCCAAGTTTTTCGGCGTGCGGAGAACCGAGTGAAACTCCATGCCCGGTTCAAGCGGGCAATTTTTAGTTAGTGGGGAGGACCGAAAAAAAACTCCCGTTACGTGGGGTTATGTGATAAGCTGCAGATGTTCGGCAGCTTCTTCGGGATTCTCCCATAAGCTCTCGATGGTAAGTGAGGTTGGGTACATGATCTGTGGTGTGTGGTCCTATGTAGCAACTTGGGCAGACATCGGGTATATTGTTGTTAAGCCTGTGGTGGTAGCTGGAGAGGTGAGTTGAGTATCCTGATCGCAGCTTTGACAGTGTGCATCGAGTTTTCCGGTCAAGTTTGCTTTCGTTTGGGGATAAAGTTGGAGATGCTCTACCAAGTAGCTGAAATTTTTCGTTCAGAAAGTTTTGTACTTCTGTTGTGTGAAGGTTTTCGTTTAGAACATGTTCAATGTCAGGTTTGAACTTATGTTCGAGGGTTTGTCTGATATTCCTGATATTCTAAAACAGTGTGGTGGTCAGCACTATGCTCCTGGTAGCACCCGAGAAGAAACTGTTTAGATAGCCTTTAATTGTGTTTGTTAACCAGTAGAATTTTGTTTCATCATGCAAATCTGTTATGTCACTTATTCTTAGGCATCCCGTAGTTGTTTTTACGGCGTTGTTTTGCTTTACTTGTAAACGTTGCCAGTTGGTGTAGCTAAGTCTTTGGGGCAAATTGGAGCTGCGTAGTTCAGAAACTTCTTTCCTATTGCCTTGTAAGTTACGCTGAGTGTTTCTTTGGAGCAACCCCATGTAGTGCCGGCAAGTTTTTTGAGTACATTATTCCTTTTTTGTAGTTTGTCACATGTTTTAGTGCAGTGTTCATTAAAATTCAATTGGTTGTCAATTGTTGCTCTGAGAGTTTTGGGGTTGCGAGTAGTGGGCGGGTTAGTTCCGTCAACCATTACTTTTGGCTATAAATTAAATTCATTCGTCCATGTGGAAAAAATTGATTTCGTGAACTTATCTTTTAATAATGAAAGATTTCTGCCTGTTATCCAGGTGTTGAGGCTGTTCAGGTCAGGGTCCATGTTCGCTGCTAAAGTTTCAATATTGGGCCCTGGTGTTGTGAGGATAGTTTCATCTGCATAAGTAGTCACTTTGATGTTATCAATCTATGGTAGAGGCATTTTTGACATATAGAGATTAAATAGGACCTGAGATAGCACACCACCTTGTGGGACACCTTGTTTCACCTTCACGAGTTTGGATTTAGTGTCTCTGAATTCTACATATGTATGTCTACCTCGTAGGTAGGCAAGAATCAATCTTCTGGTGTTATTAGAAAGATTCGAGCTGGCGATGTCGCTTAGCAGATGGTAGTGGTCAACAGTATCAAAGGCTGCAGTCAAGTCGAGGGCGACCATTTATGTTCTTTGACGCGGTTTGGCCTTGCTCAAACCAGCTTTTATGCAGAATTAGATAAAATTAAGGGCAGTTGTTGTCGATTTTTTTTCTCAACCAGTTTTGGTGGTGTTCCTGAAAATTTACATTAAAATTGAATTCGGGTAAAAGTAAACGCTCTAGGAGTTTTGCCACTGGAGAGAGCGCTGCAATTATTCTGTAGCTCATAGCTTATCCGGGGTCTTTACCGGGCTTAGCCAGGGGTATTACTCTTCCCACTTTCCAGTTTTCGGGTATTGTTGCATTACTCAATGAGAGGCTTATCAACTTACTGAAGTATTTGATGGCTTGTTTTCCCATGAAATGTAAATGGATTGTAGTGATGTTATCAGGTCCTTGCGCTTGGCTTTTCTTACTGGACTTTATTGCATTTTCCATCATCCAATGCATCTAGTCGCTAATCCTTGTTTAACTTATGTACTAAGCTTTTGTCAAGTTCACTTTCTAGAAAAAAAAAACTCAAATTTGAAAAGAAATATATTTTTGTTCAAGGTAGGTCGGAAACTTCGGTGCTCCATGCGCAGCAACCTGCTCCTAATGTCTTAATAAGGAAATAATTGGAGTAGTTATAAAGTGCGTCAAATCTATACGGATTGGATTATCTCATTGTGCGCGTTGCATGCGCTGGAAAAATGCATGGCTTAAGTTAAAGCAATATGATTTATAGGTCTCATTATTTCACGATAAAACTCAGGCAGAAACGCGATCTGTACGATAGCGTCTATGTGGCATAGAAGTCCTCGTTAAAAATTCTAGATAACCGAAATTGGTCTGAAGAAAAAACATCCGGAAAAAGTATTCTGTTAGTTTTCTAAATCTGAGCAATCAGTTAAAATTCAAGTTATGCATTTCAAAGAAACTTATGAAATGGATCTACCTAACAATCGCCCCCTTTGAGTAAAAGGGATTTTTTATGTAGGTTATAGCAGCGAACTTTTGACCAATTAGATTAAAAATTCGAGTTTAAAACCAACGCTCTAGTGGTTATTTACTGCTTTTATTTATAGGGGTGGCATTTTTAGTATATACTATAGGGGAGATCGATTCTTCGGGAGTTTCAAAGAACCGAATCGCGCCCTTTTACTGGACGATTATGATGGTACGAAAAATTAGAAAAGGTTTAGGTTCCGTTTTTTTTGTGCTGGCACGAAATGTCGCTCAACGAAGAAAGTATTTTTAGGCAATTTAGGAACGAGCGTTGGTAATTACTTTTATAAATGACAAAAGAGGGAAACTCTTTATACAGTACCAATTCTTTATAAGTGAAACGGCGTACAGTGTCTGCGGGACATCAATTTTTTTTTCTTCAAATTACCAGGACACGTAAATTCGATCTTCTCTCTGTCTTACCATTACAGTAACAAATCAACGTCTCTGCTGTTAAATACCATTCATTTTGAGCCGCCGTGAAAATGAAAATTCATATACAGAACACACTAGGAACCAATTTGCCACTTTTCGGTTTTATGTTTTAGATTGTGCTAATGGAGTTGATCTATTGTGCAATAACGAATGCAACCAATTATTTATGAAGCTAGTCCTCGGCCACAGAAATACTTAAAACTATGAAATTGTAGTTACTGACTTGAATAAAAATTTTGAAAACGCGGGAATCTCTTTGAAAGAGGACCGTCATGAATAGAGAAGAGCTCGGGCTTAAAAATTCAACGAAATATATTTTGAAATCTCGTCCTTATTTTCACCCAGTAAGGGAATTATTAACGACTTCTAACTTCGGAGCAGCTGCTGGTAATAGTCCGATATTATGGTGCGTTCAGTCGAACTTAGAAAAGTGCAGTTTAAAACAGTCGAAACTCCGCAGTCTATTATCGATGTCACACTTCACATCAAAGGAGACGACGACGAACATACTGCCGACCCGAAATCAGAGTCGGCTTCGTCCTCGAGTAGGAGTAGCGACATCACGGTCAGCTCGGCCGAGTTCAACGAAGAGGCGGCTATTGGTAGCAAAGAGTTCGAGATTGCAGAGGCGGCAGAGGGGAACAGGGATAAGAAGGGGGGAGGAGTGGTCTACGGGGGAGTGAAGCCTCTGAGGGGGAGACTGCTGGCATTTGTATTCTGTATTCTCGTCACCATCATACTCTCGCTAGTCAAGGTAAAACTCATTACAACGGAATAGTAGTGAATTGATTGCATGCAGATAAAATACAAAGTTTTTTGGTTTTCTCGAATGAAAACTGTAGAACAGGTATTAGATAATGAGAATTCAAGCGATTGGACAGCATCAATTTAAGCTCTGAACCTTCAACTTTAAAGGGGGGCTGGAAACTGCTGTTTGACTGGTAATAGAAACATATTGATAGAGGACCGTGTTTAAAAACTGTTGTGTTTTAGGCAGTTGACATCGCTCCGGCTTCAATTCTGGTGACTCGAAACATAGTCCAGTTCCTGCTTCTATCGGCCTACAACTGCTGGGCTATGTCATGTATAACTGACATCTTGAGACACCACTTCAAAATCATATTCACTCGAGCACTTGTTGGGACTTTTGTTGTCACTATTGTATACTGTGTATCCAATTTCATCTCACTCGCCAAACTGGGAATCTTGAACCAACTGACGCCAGTTTTTACTACGATATTCGGAGTCCTGATTCTAAAAGAGAAACCGACTTTCTCAGAATCTGCCCTCAGTTGTCTAGCTATTATAGGCTCCTTTTTCGTGATTCAACCTGAGTTTATATTCGAAAAAGCTGACGGCGAAGTTTCGGACATTGTTGTGGTTTCGAAATACGAGTATATTGCGATGGGAACTTTGATGTTGGCCGTGGCGGCGGAAGGCCTCGCGATGGTTCTGAACCGAAAAGCGGGACGAAAGAACATACCGTGTACTGTTCTATTATGGGCTCAAAGCGCAATCGCGATTCCAGTCGTAACTGGAATGCACGTGTTTGTATCGGCTGGCAATTCTGTGTTCGGTGGTCTTAAAGATTGCAGTATCTTTGGAATGTCGGCTCTGTGTGCGATTTTGGTTCTCGGATTTACGAATCAGACTATATTTCTGTTTGCGAATAAGTATGAGAAGTCTTCAATCGTGGCGGTGATTGTGGCGTGTTGCAAGGTCTCATTCATGCAGAAACACTTCATTTGATAAGATTTTGCTTCGTGTATTATTCGCCATAAAATACACTCTTGCAGCCAACGCGATTACTATTTGGCTTTTAAAATGAACCTCCTTGGATATTATTCTACGAAATCCACTTTTTTGTCGCCAGGCTTTAATTTTTTTTCTTAGAGCGTCTGTAACTCCATTATGAACAAATTTTTTCAGGGGGCGTGCACGCTGAAAATGCGCAATTTTTGGTCAAAACATTAAAATTGCTCAAAGCTGTTTTTTTTTCGGGTGTTCCCGGAACATGGAAAACGACGACCCATTTTATTACTCTTGCGATAAGCAAGAGCGTTGCAATTGGGTACTAGACTTTTTCCCATAACCAATTTTTTTCACAGAACGGACGAAATGGTAATCGTTAACAGTTTAATATCAACTACTGAGTTATTAGTATGGTCAGTGTATTGATTGCATATGGTGTTTGGGTGCACATTGAGAGATCCTGCCAAGTAAATTTCAAGTCGCGAAAAGTTTTGTACATTTTCGGCGCCGGAGGCCGGTCGGCTTTAATTTTGTCGGATTGTTTACCCAATGTTTTGTAATTAATTGAGGCGGGCGTGTTCACTCATTTGCGTGCCTTTTTGCTATAATCACGATATGTAGCATTGAAAATTTCATAGCATCTGTTCTCTGCTTTATTTATGACTAGTGTTTGAAATGTATGAAGTTTGTGGCCGAGTGGTTAGTGCGTGAGGCTCAATTGTCTATATCGCAGTAGGTCACAGATCGAATCCGAGACGTAGCCGATTTTTTTTTAAAATTCGAGGCTTATTTCTATTTTTTATTTTTTCACTTTATAGAGCTGCCTTGTCGTGTTCTCGCTGATGTTTGCGAAGCTTCGTCTCGGTGTAAAACTCTTTCATTTACCGGTAATAAAAAATCACGAAACACAATTTTCAAATTATTCTCATTTTTATTTGCAATTTACTGCATCGCTAGTTACGTGAAGCTCGACTTCGCCTGTTTGTGAAAAATGGTTTTGACTGACTTTACTTCTCTCGTTGAAGCTGTAATTTTCGAGGAAAAACTAATTTAATAAGCATTGTATTACTGTATAGCTTTGTGTCGTGCTAAGTCTATCTGCTTGAATGCGGACATAGGTTGTCTTCTTCTTCATCGCCGACTTTCTCTTCTTCCCAGACGAGATGCAATACAATTACTTCCACTATATGGGTGGAGTGTTAATTGTGGGTGCCATTCTTGGACTCCTGATTTCGAACCACTTTAGACAGATCTCATTCTCACACTGCAGCGATACATCAAAAACTGCAGATTAGCACTGGTCCAAACAGGCTCTCGGTTATCAAATTTGGGTCAACAAAAACAACCACGTTTAAGGTCAACAAAAATAGATGTCTGTATTATCAACAAAAAAAAATCAACTGAACAGAACTTGTATTCGTGGCGAGAGAGTACTACACATGTTCGAACATCATTTAAATAGAATGGATTGAAATTGGTGACTTGTCTTGACATTGCTTGTAATCTGATTGATATAAACTGAACTGACTGATTCATTTATCGTACAATTGACTTGAAATAGACTTATTAAACTGTGAATTAGTTAAGATAATATTGTAAGTTCGACTGAATCTAGGAGGCTTGTTTTTTTTTAAATCAGAATTTAAAAAATTGTCAGAATTGCAGATTGTAATAATCAGACTTTTGAAATGTTGAGTTACTTCAAGAATATAACTGTAATTCTGAAACAAGTCAATGAACTCAAGAAAACCGAAAACAAACTTCTTTAAAATTTTGAAAAAAATTCTCAAAAAAATCACTTCGTGTAAGCTCTTTTGAATTTCAAGAAACCTTTATAACCGACATTTCTTGCATCAATAACATAATTCGAGAAAACTAGATCTTTGCTGGAGAGGGTAATGTCCCTTGCATTTAGCATATGAGTTTGAATTTCTATTTAAAATAATCAAAACGCGAGAAAAAAAGTTGTTCAAAAGTTTTTCCTGAATAAAAAACACAGCAAAATAAGAGATGCCTTGATAAATCACTGCGTTCAATAATACTTAATGATATGATTTCTACGGCGCAGTGCTACTTAATAAACTTGAAGTGAAACAAAAAAAGTTTTTTTTCAAATTTACTCGTTCAGTTCAATCGTTTCATATGTTGACTACCCTCTCCTCTTATGAAAGGCTACTTCAACTACTGAGCTTAAAACAATTTTGTACCTTTTACCGAAAACCTTAGATCCATTATGCTCCTTATCTTTTTGTAATAAAGGGAGCGGGTATTTAACAAGCTTCAACTCATCTATTACATTATTTGTGATGTATGATTAAGTATTGGGTTAAATAACTTGCAGTTGCTAAATTTGGTGCTCTGCCATTTTACATGATTTAAATCCGTAATTGTCTTAAGCAGTTTCGTTCACATTTTCTGTTGCTTAGTTTAAGTGTCACAATTCGGTCATTTTCGACCGACTCATACTCTTAGTAGCAATAAAATGTACATAGCCTATTCAGTAGTATACTCATTTAGAAAATATTAATAAACATTTTGAAAAAATGTTCTTTTCCACAATTGAGACATCATAGCAGTGCATCATAACAATACTGCTCGTATATCAGGGCAAGGCCCTGAATGTTCCGACCATGTCCTTAATCTGTATCGAATAGTTTTTGGGAAAAGAAAATACTGAAAATCTATAAATTTTGGACAGTAGATCAAAGATCAAATGTGAAATTTTTAGTCGTACGAAATTAGTACGATCAATTAGCTGGTGCTAGGGTTTTCAGCAGAGCGGTTTTTTAGCAGACTCAGAATAATTAGAAATTCTGATAGAGGGACCGACCTTTTACCAGAAAAGCTCTAACATGGACCTTTTTACCAGACTCGATAAATAAATTTGATTGACAGATGTAATGACGCTGTTTAGTCTAGTTAACTTCCACTAGTTTGTTATCTTCCACTAAGTTTAACTTCTCTTAATTAAATTATTGCATTGTGGTCTGGTAAAAGGTCAGTCTGGTAAGGTTACGTAGCAGTATTTAGACAACCGCATATTCCTACTGGTCAATAAACAAACACTTAACGAATCGGAATCGAGACAAGGAAGGAATTAATTAATAATATTTAGTTCGAAAGGTCGCTTTCCGATCTTGATTCTGATTGGTTAATACAGTATTTGTCTGCTTACTGGCGAGTAGGAATACGCGGTTGTCTAAATACAGATCGCACTCCGTCTGGTAAAAGACCTAGCCCCGTCAGATAGCTAACTTGAAACGCGACAGATAATTGTCTTAATTGGGAAAGCTTGGCCCAGACTGAGCGCCTTTTTAAGTTTGTCAATCAATCATCCATCACTTTATTACGTTGGTCTGCTAAAAGACTCATTTTTCACTTTTTATGCTATAGGATTGGTGTGCTAAACGATCTGTCCCCCAATTAGCTATAGCATCAATTCAATTTAGAGCGATTTTGTTGTGCGGGATAATTCGCCACGCATAAATAATTCGCGTTAGGCTTTAAAACTTCTGAATAAAATGTTCCAATTGATCATAAATTAGTCCAGAGCATGGTCAAATACGAAATTTTCACACACCCAGAACTTTAAAAAAACGTTCAGAGGTGAAATATCTTTTTATATTTGATTTCAGGGAGTTGATATCTTCAACGGGATATAAAATTTTTTTGTTAAAAACTGTTATTTTGATCGCCGAAAATTGACTGAATAAAAAAAATCCCACCGAGCATAAATATTCCGTTTTCTTCGAAAGTCGGAATAAATATGTTCTTAATCAGTAGAGAGTGATCACAAAAATTAATTGAAAGAAACAAGAGTTGAAACAACCCAACACATTTAACATAAGAACTGTATTTCAAATGGATACAGCAGATATTAGATATTGTAAAAGAAAATTTGGTCCAAAAAGAATTCAAATCGAAAAATTATGCTTTGATTGGTTGAAAACTGGCGTTAAGATATCAATGTATATCCTAAATCAACCTTATTAAACCTAGAATGTTTTAACCGCTTATTTGATCTTTTTTGAGGGAAACTGATCAAATTCTTGGTTCACAATGCAGGCACATATAGTCAACATGGCAATCAGCAGGAAGATTACCAACAGTTGAACACATGTGATAATTGCGACAAAAGTGGTGAGTTTGTTCCTCACAAAGTCAAGAGATCCATATCTGAATATAATTTCTTCATCGGCGCTTTTAGAGAAGACTAATCTTGATTTTGCCGCCGGTAATTGTTCTTCTTTCAAACCTAAAAAGCACAATATCTTTTTACTTGATGCAAAATTGGTAGTAATATAGTTCAAGCAAAACTACATAGCTTAGACTACAGGTTTAGGAAGTTGAATTAATAGATAATTAATAGCTAGCTTCCTTTCTGGCGTGGCTGTAACTCTAGCAGGTCTAATACTATTAGCATCTGATATATGATGGAAAACTCATAAAGGTTGAGAATTAAGTGTACTTCTGTGAAAACTTATTTTAATATTTACACTAGTGTCAACTCAGTGTATTATTAAGAATTTTCTTTTTTTAACCTATGTCGCAAATATTGTTGCCACTTTTGGGGCTCATTTACAGCTTTTTGATAGTATGTGTTTTGACATTCGAATAGTAATAAGTTAACTCATTTGATGCATTTTTAATTCATCAAATGAACCGATAAAAGTTTTTTGTTTCAAACATTTCAAACAACATATCTCAATAAAAACTCTATTTCAGAATTTTTCTAACTCGAATTATCTCGCAATTTTTCAAAATGCATAACTTATACATAATGTGGTTTTATGCTTTACAATTTCTTATATGCAAAGTTAGAATGGATGCATTCAGTTTTATATTCCATATTATTACTTGCAAAATTATGCCCATTTGTATTTGGTGCCACTTTTGCTGAATGGCTTGGCAATTTATTAGCATATGTAGCAGTTGTTTTCGTGACTAGTGTTTGTCGGTGGTTAAGCGTGCGTGGCTGAGTGGTTAGTGCGTGAGACTCAAATTCTCTTGATTGCATTTGGTCGCAGATTGAATCCTATACCTAGCTGAACTTTCGCTAATTCGAGGCATGTTTCTTTTTTTTTTACTTATTGCACTATCTAGAGCTGCTTTTTGTCGTGCGTTCGCTAGTGCGTGCGGAGCGAAGCTTCGTCTCACTGTTAAAATATGGCGCAAAAAACATTTTCAAGTTAATTAGGCTAATTTCAACCCCAATAAACAAAACTGATATGAAAAAATAAACAGGTTCAGAAAAAATTCTATTTGAGATACATAAAAATCAACGGGAAAAAAAATTACAACTTGCAGTTTAGCCAACAAATATAGCTATCTATACGTTTTTAACAGGCGGTTGATTTGTAAGTGCTTACCTATTCCCCAAGTTGATACGTTAAACAGCCAATATAGTGCAACGTTTTAAATAATTTCATACTCTAAACTACTTAATTGCAACATAAATCGACTTCTTCATAGACCCTACGCTCCCCCCTAGAATTTTAACACCTGCGAAAATTGGGAGGTCTGGATGATCCCATCGGCGTTTTTCTACCATAAAATAAATGGCCAAAGATTTCAAAAAAAAATCAATTTTAAGAGCACACCAAATTATAGAAACCCTTTTTTAAACGCTAGAAAATTGTCCTCTTGATTAATTTACTGAAATTTTGCGCCAATTTTTGGCTCAATTTTTTCTCAGAATACTTATCAAAATTGATCCAAAATTACGGTCTCCCCTGATAATTTTAAACCCCGTAATGAAAAACACATTTTGTCCAATTCCCCGGTAATTTTCGCTCCCCGCGATTAAGGTACTGCAGAGTACTCATTGCATAAATTGAATTGTTTTTATATGCTTACAATCAATGGAATGCAAATTGCCAAGGTAATCTGCTAGAGTTCGACTTTTTTTTAAACTCAAATGACTTATGCTCCTTTTGCTATGCTTTTCTTAAAACATCTGTTTATTTCATTGGTTAAATCACAAAACTTCAAATTAGCAATTCTGTTATGGGTTGACGTTAAAGTTTTCTCGGCTGATCTAGCCTTAGAATCTGACTGCTCAATTGCTTTTACTTAAAAACATATGACATGACGGCTTCTGTGGCTTTTTTAAAAACATAGATGTGAAAAAAGCTAGAACACGTTCTATAATTCTCACTTAAATGACCGATACCCCACAGTTGCAAAACTTGCCTCCAAAAAAAACGTTCAATTTTTGTTCGTTTCCAATTTTTTTGTTTGTTTCAGAAATTTTATATGCATGATTAATTGGCGTCTCTTTTGACACTTGTTTAAAACGTCCTCGTGTCGACATGATTAATATTAGCCATACATCCTGTCGACATAATTAATTTAGCCATACATCTGTTGAGGCGTGAATGCTTTCACTGTACATTTTTTACTTCTGCAATGCAAACTTTTTGAAGCCTTTTTTCATTATTCTAAGCTATATTGTCGGGTGCTTTCAAGGTACACTCAGGGTTTGCACATCGAGCTGTCAAATATCACTGCTCAAATGCTTTCGTTTTCAAAAACATAGGTTTTTTAAAATTAAGTTGTCAATCCATTGGTTGGTAATGTCAGGGCTTAGTGTCCCAGGAGTTCCAAATTTGGCCTCCAAGTATTACTGCTCTATTCCGTCTAGTTTCCGAGAAATAACATTTCATATGATTTTTTCACTTGGTTTCAAAAAATTTCGATTTGAAAAAAACTAACACAGCTAACCTGACCGTTAACTTAGGAGTTCTTTGGAAAAATTATGTCACCTTGAAAGTATTTGAATTTCAAGAACAGTTCATGATTAGTGC